GCTTTTGTTGGGCTCAGCCACTGAGACCCAGGGACTGTTTGTTACTGCACCATTGCCTGGCACACCTGATTCAAGCTCCTGACACGCTCTGCAGACTTTGCCATGTTGTTCACTGGGAGGCACCAGCATGCATGAGATAGAAAACACTTCCTTCCACTCTGGCTAATAGGCGTCACCCAAAATAGTGCTGATGAGTTTACATCCAGCCCCAAAGATTTAAGGAACTTCTCTCTGAGCTTGGGCCCAGGTCTGCGCCTTCCTTTACACATGGTTGGCACTAGTATAAAAATGGCACTTTTCCATATGCCAAGGCATTTAACAGGCATGAAGCACATTTGCTGATGATCTCCCATGAGGTGAAGGAGATAGGCCTAATTCCCGTTTTAAAGCTAAGAGCATTGCAGCTCAGAAGGGTCACATTCAAGGTCACACAGCTAATTAAAGTACTTGAACCTAGGTCTGTGTCTCTTGTCCCAAAACCAGTATTTCTCAAAATGTAGTTCTGGCCAGGTACGGTGGCTCACACCTGTAATTCTAACACCTTGGGAGGCCGAGGCAGGCAGATCACTTGAGGCCAGAAGTTTGTCACCAGCCTGGCCAACATGACGAAATCCCCATCTCTACTAAAAATAGAAAAGTTAGCCAGGCGTGATAGTGCATACCTGTAGCCCCAGCTACATAGTAGGCTGAGGCACAAGAGTCGCTTGAAACTGGGAGGCAGAGGTTGCAGTGAGCTGGAGATCAAGCCACTGCACTCCAGCCTGGGTAACAGAATGAGACTCTGTCTCAAAAAAAAAAAAAAAAAAATGTAGTTCAGAGACGGAAAGCCTGGACCTGGGAATGTGCATTTTTTAAGTTTCTCAGGCCATAATTATGCTGAGTTTGAGAATCCTTGCCCCACATTGCCTCCTCCCATCTGGTCAGCTTTCTACAGCGGGAGGGGAGCGGTGGGATTTTAGGGTGAACCAAAGGATTACCTCCCTAACCAAAGCAACAAATGAAAAATGTGTCCCCTGCCAGACTGCTCTTTGTGCCCGAAATTATCCCAAAAGACTCATTTCTTTGGGTTAAAATACAAACAGTCCTAGATCACTCGGGACCTTCTCATGAATGAACTCGGGTGATTCCCAGCCAGGAACAATGGCTTGTACCAAGTCACTCTGCAAGGTCAGCTTTTGCGGGGAAACATCAGTCAAGACCTTGATCTGAAATGGCAAATCCAGCTGGAGGTTGCAGGTGGTGAGATCCTGGACAGCAGGGAGACGCTGAGCATCAATGGGGTGGGGGTAGTATGGGGTGGGGATAGTATGGGGTAGGGAGGGGGGGTGACAGTGGCAGTGGGGGTGAAGGTGAAGGACTCCCAGGAGAGAAAAAAAAAATGCAACTGGGGGAGGTAGTGAAGCCACACACACCAGAGTCAGAAAGAACTGGAGGCCAGGTGTAGTGGCTCATGCCTGTAATCCCAGTACTTTGGGAGGCCAAGGCAGGTGGATCGCCTGAGGTCAGTTCGAGACCAGCCTGGCCAACATGATGAAACGCCATCTCTACTAAAAATACAAAAATTAGCCAGGCATGGTGGTGCATGCCTGTAGTCCCAGCTACTCGGGAGACTGAGGCTGGAGAATTGCTTGAGCCTGGGAGAAGAGGTTGCAGTGAGCCGAGATCGTGCCACTGCACTCCAGCCTAGTGACAGATGCCTCCAAAAAAAAAAAAAAGAACTGGAGTAAAGCCTCAGCCTTGCTACTTATCGGTGTGACCTTGCAAATACTACTTTACCTCCTGTGCCTAAGTTTTCTCATGTGTAAAACGCAGCTAATAACAGAACCTACCTATGGGGGCATTGTAAGAATCAAACACATTCATGTGTGGAACAGTTAACATTTACTGACCCTTGTGCCAGTAGCCATGCTAAGTGCTTTGCATATATTATTAACTCATTTAACCTTCATAGACAACCAATGGTGTGGTTATTATTTTACCCATTTTATAAAGGAAGAAAGTGAGGCACAGAGAGGTGAAGTAACTTGCCCCAAGGTGGCATAGCTTCTAAGTGTCAGAGTCAACATTTGAACCTAGTCGGTCATATTTCAGGGGCAGTGTTCCTGATGGCTACGCTCAGCAGCAGATGCTTCATCTCACAGAGACGGCTGCAGTGGTGGGGACCAGAGTGCAGCCTGCTGAAGGATGGACCTCTGGGCAGGGGTCCCTGTTGTTCAGGTCCAAATCAGACTGAACAGTAGCCTTAATCATTAAGATCACTACAGAGCTAAGGGGTGAGAGCGCACTCTGCCTGTTCTCCCTCCACCCCCAAGACACTCACCCTATTCCACACCCAGAGGAGGACATGGGGTGCTCCCTTCCAGAGCCTAGAGACCCTGGGATGGCTCCAGCCCCTTCTCCCAACATTCCCCCAGCGAAGAGCACCAGTACCCTTGCTCTGCTGTCCACCGGGCAGTTGTCCCGGGATCAGTGTTTTTGGTTGTTCCTCGTTTTGTCTTGCTTCCCTTTGAGAGTATCTCCTGAAATAAACGGCAGTGTTGCAAGGAGAAAAGGGAGCCCAGCCTCTCTGGAGCAGTTACGATGGGCAAACAATGAAATCCATGTGCGGTGTCTCACGGGGCCTTCACACCTTTGTGAAGTAAATATTATTGTCCTCATTCTGCGGATGAGGACGCCAGGCCCAGAGAGGCTAAATGACTTGCTCCAAGTCACAGAGCAAGTCGGCAGCACCTGGCTGCATCAAATGCTTGTCTACTGGAATCCAAAGCTGTTTATGGGATTTGGAGCTCTGCTGGGGCTTTTACACCCAACCCCCAAAGGTGAAGTTCTCTGTTCCTCATTCATTCCTTCATATGCTGAGTGTTTTGCAGCAGCGGCTCGATGCCAGGCATTGGATAGAGACCATAGCAACCTGGCCTCCGTTTCATTCTGTTCAGCAGGACTGGTGATCTTTCTAAACGGGATATTTGTAGAGGTTTTCATCGCCCCAGTTTCTGGAAGGCCTGATCATCAGCCCAGGGGCTGCTCCTCGGGGATGGGAGTCAGGGGTTCAGCTTCTTCGTGGGAGAATCCAGCTCTGGGTGTTTCAGGAAATTTCTGACCTGCCAGGTTTCCTGATCAGTCAGAGCTGGGGAGTGGGGGCCGAGAGAAGAGGTTTCCCGTCAGCCCAGCTTTTGTCTCTCACATGAGCGCGAGACAGACAAACCACAACCACAGACTCGACCAGCTGTGGAAGCGTCGAACAGGAAACCCGGAACATCTGGTGCTCCACTTCCTCTGAGGGCTGTGCACGTCTGGGGCGCCGGGTGTGTGTGTGCATGTCCGCCTGTGTGCACGACTGTTTTCTCTCCTGCCGTTGGTTAGTGGGACCTGGATGCAGACAGAGCTGGAAACCACAGGTCTTGTGGTGACAAGGAAGCCAGACACTGGCTCCCCAACCCTTACAGCACAGCGTCCCTCCTCAGACAGTAACCGGGGATCCGACCCAGTCTCGCAGGCCCTTGGCTAGCTTCAGGTCACCACGCATTTGAAGAAAGGGATTTCTTTTCCTTTCAGATTGTGATGGTTTAGAGACATTGTTTGGAGGTGAGGTGGGAGGGCTCTGCTTACATATAACTTGGCCTCAGCATACAGACCCACAAAAAGCAGCCTCTGGACAAAAGCTGCTTTTGTTTTTTGCTTTTTGTTTTTGAGACAGAGTCTTGCTCTGTCACCCAGGCTGGAGTGCAATGGCGAGATCTCGTCTCACTGCAACCTCTGCCTCCCAGGTTCAAGTGATTCTCCTGCCTCAGCCTCCCAAGTAGCTGGGATTACAGGCATGGGTTAATTTTTTTGTATTTTTACTAGAGACAGGGTTTTGCCATGTTGGTCAGGCTGGTCTCAAACTCCTGATCTCAGGTGATCCACCCGCTTCGGCCTCCCAAGGTGCTGGAATTACAGGCGTGAGCCACTGTGCCCAGTAGCCATGCTAAGTGCTTTGCATACATTATTAACTCATTTAATCTTCACAGACAAACAGCTTTAAAAAAAGCTGTTTTTAAAACAATTTGAGGAGCATCTGTGGATGAACGCTAAGGCCATGTGCTGGTCAGGAGGCAGTTTATTAGTGGTGGTATTCTCTGTGTAAGGAGAAAACAGGGTTTTTAATTTTTCGTTTTTCTGAAGGGAAGAATCATAAGGAAGTGGAAACAAAAGGCTCCCCAAACCATAGCATGAGGTTTAACTCTCATGATACGTTAAGGAAGTAGGCATTATTATGCCCATTTTTATGAATCATGAAATAGATGTGCAGGAGGGTTCAGAAGTCACTCCAGCTAATACAGCGCCTAACGAGCAGGGGCAAGGTTCAATTCAAACCGAATCCCAGCCTCATGCTAGATCTTAGTTCACACTTCATTCTTTCAATGAGCATTTATAAATTAAACTGTACCTAGCAAAGAGTTGGGACTTCAATGTTTCTTGAATTAATCACCTAAATGTGCCATGATGTCAGAGACAGATGTCATCCTCACTGTAGCCCCCAGGCTCAGCACGGTATCCAGGAAAGAACAGGTGCTTGTAGTCCCAGCTAATTGGGAGGCTGAGGCAGGAGAATTGCTTGAACCCGGGAGGCAGAGGTTGCAGTGAGCCGAGATGGCGCCATTGCACTCCAGCCTGGGCGACAGAGCAAGACTCCATCTCATGAAAAAAAAAAAAAAAGAAGGGGGCTTAATCAATGTCAGCAAATGAATACGTAAAGGAATTCCAAGTTTTAGAACAGCGATATTTTATTTTTGCTTGTTGTTTGTTGTTTGTTTTTGTTTCTTTTGAGCCGGAGTCTCACTGTCAATCAGGTAGGAGTCTAGTGGTGCAAATTCGGCTCACTGCAACCTCCACCTCTAGGGTTCAAGCGATTCTCCTGCCTCAGCCTCCGCAGCAGCTGGGATTACAGGCGCGCACCACCACGCCCGGCTAATTTTTGTATTTTTAGTAGAGACAGGGTTTCACCATGTTGGCCAGGCTGGCCTCAAGTGATCCGCCCAACTCGGCCTCCCAAAGTGCTGGGTAACAGATGTGAGCCACCACGCCCGGCCGATACTTCGTTTTTCTGGAGGTCATTTACTTAGCAAGGCTAGCTGTTTGGATCCTGGCTAAAAATGTGAAAGAAGACAGAAAGAGTCACAAGCAGTCAACAAAAGTCACGGGTCCTAGCAGGTAAAAGTTCAAGTACTTGATTCAAAGCCGAAATTCTCAGGTCCTCAGTCGTAGCCTGGTTACCCTTACAAACACCAGGGCTAAAGAGCACGGTTCATGATCTTTCCAGGACACAAGATTTGAAAGCATCTGTTTCGAAGGGAGATAGCCTGCTAGAGGAAGCTTGCGGGCAACAGCAAATTGGGAGTTGGACTAACACTTTCAGACTGGGATGCCACGAAGAACTCGCCAGCAGAGATAAGAGATGGGCAAGATGAAGAGAATGAACTGTGATTCTCAGATATCTGCCCGCAAGGTGGTTCCGAGAAAGCCAGCCGGAAACTGCAGCATCGCGGAGGATTTCTCCGGTTCAGGTTAAAGAGACAGCAGCCAGACGGTGCCGACCTCAAACCCAACTCCCGACAGCAACCTTGAGGCCACCCGAGGTGGCGCATGCGCAGTGTGCGAGATCGTGCTCCTTTTCATACCTGCGGACCTGCGGAGTCTTCTTCCTGAGCAGGGCTTACGTCACGCAAGCGCCGCGGGTGTGGACGTCATCTGAGAGCGCCACGCGCAGTCCCGAAACCCTGAGCACCGTCTGGCTAAGGCGTTGCTGTAGAGACCGTGCGCCGAGTTCCGCCCCCGAGGCGGGATTGGAGGAGAACTGGTCAGCTGACAAGGGTGGTGTTTCGAAAGCGCGCGGTAGGCCGTGCTGGGACTCAGAGCCCGAAAACTGATTTGAGGGGCGTCTTGACCGAAGGTACTAAATATCACATGGCTCCGTTAAAGTAAAAATGCAAACTGCCCTAATAAGGCCGGAGGGCTGGGAAGACTTAAATGTATCACTTCAGTAGCTTAGGGGTGGGAAGAAGAGTTTGGACCAGACTAGCTCCGGGATAACCTGACCTTTTTGAGCCTTAAATTTCTTCTCGAAGGGATCTTTCCCATCAGCATATAAACATGTGATTTCCCCGTTCCTGAGAACCCTGTCGTGGCTCCAGCTCCCATCCTATCCCCTCGCTTTCTGAATATCGTAACTCCTTGGAAGAGTGTATATTTTTTGTCCAGCTCTCTCCTCCCACTTTGTTGAACTCCCTCCAGGCAAACTCGGTCTCTCCCCAGTCCTCCTCTTACCTGCTCTATCAGCAATTTTTGATACAGTTTATCACCCTCTCCTCCGCAAAACTTTCTTCACTTGGCTTTTGGCAGTGCACACACTTGTTTTTTTCCTCCATCCCAGCCCCACCTTCTCTGTTTCTTTTACTAGCCTCTCCTCTTTTTCCTGACCTCTAAATGTAGCAGTGCCCCCAGCACTGGCTCCTTGGACTTCTCTTTCTTTTCACTTAATCCCTTGATGATTTCATCGGGTTTCATGGCTTTAAAGACTATGTGCTGATGACTCCCATCCGTATACCTCCAGCCTAGAAAAATCCTGGCTTCTCGGGCTGTAAACTTTGAGTTCTTCATCCCGTGTCAAATCTGTCAGCAGATCCTATTGGCTTTTCTTCTTTCCCCAGAATCCGGTCTCCACTGACACCATCTTAGACCAAGCCCCCATCTCTCACCTGGATTATTGTAATTGCCTAACTGGTCCCTCTTCTATCCCTACCCCGTCAGTCTATATTTACATAACAACCTCAGGAATTCTGTTAAAAGTCGCATCATGTGGCTCCTCTGTGCAAAAACTACCAGAGTAAAAGCCAAAGCTTTACCATGGCTAGAAATGTTCCACACGACCAGGCCTCTATTCTAGACCTTTCTTTTCTTGTCTCCCTCGCTCACTTAACACCAGCCACATTGGCCATTTTGCCAGGCTTGTTTCTGCCTCTGGGATCCTGAACTTGCCTTTACCTCTGCCGGGAACTCGTCCTCACTTATCCCCAGGGCGCTCTCCCTTACCTCCTCCAAGACTTGGCTCAGATGTTCCTCGCTGAGAAAGGCCTTCACCAACCTCCTGGTTTTACATTGCAAATCAGACTCCCCCAAGCCCGCATTCCCATTCCCTTCCCTTTTGCTCCATTGCATTTAATTTAATAAACCTTCTAATAAACCGTTTAATTTAGTTCTTTATCTTATTTGATGTCCCTCTCCGCAGGAAGACAGGAATTTGTTCCATCATTGCTCCATCCCCAATTCTGAGACAGAGTGTGTAGCACATGACAGATGCTCAGTACAGGTCTGTGGGGAGAATGGGTGCATTGCAGAATCCAAGGGTTAAGGCATGGTTAGGAGCTGGAGCTTTAGAGGCTTGGGTTCCAGGCTCCCTTTACCACTTAGCTGCTTTGTGGGTTTTTTTGTTTGTTTGTTTGTTTGAGATAGAGTCTCGCTCTGTGGCCCAGGCTACAGTGCAGTGGCCCCATCTCGGCTTACTGCAACCTCTGCCTCCCAGGTTCAAGTGATTCTCCTGCCTCAGCCTCCCAAGAGTAGCCTGGAACTATAGGTGCCCGCCACCACACCTGGCTAATTTTTGTATTTTTAATAGAAACAGGGTTTTGCTATGTTAACCAGGCTGGTCTTGAACTCCTGACCTCAGGTGGTTCACCCACTTTGGCCTCTCAAAGTGCTGGGATTCTTTGGGAAACTGAGGCAAGTGGATCACCTGAGGTCAGGAGTTTGAGACCACCCTGGCCAATGTGGTGAAACCCCATCTCTACTAAAAATACTAAAATTAGCTGAGCATGGTGGTGGGTGCCTATAGTCCCGGCTACTCAGGAGGCTGAGGCAGGAGAATCGCTTGAACCTGGGAGGCGGAGGTGGCAGTGAGCTGAGATTACACCACTGCACTGCAGCCTGGGCAACAGAGCGAGACTCCATCTCAAAAAAAAAAAGTGCTGGGATTGCAGATGTGAGCCACTGCACCTGGCTATACCTTGTGGTCTTTAAGAAATTTATTTAACCTTCCTGAGCCTCAGTTTCCTCATTTCTATTGTGGACAAAATAATACCTAAGGCTTTCATTTGACAATACTGAACACCCCTAGGTGACCAGCTCCTGGAGACGCAATGGAGAACCTGAATGTCCCCTCGCTCCCCTGGAGTCTGTATGCTGAGGAAGGGGCTACAGACAATAGCCATGCACTCACCCAAATAAGACATTCTTCATGAATTGTGGTAAGTGTGATGAAGGAAAAGCAGTTCGTGCTGAAGAGGCAGGCTGGGAAAGAACTTCCCTGAGAGGGCAACTTCACTGTCCAAGTCCACTTAGGCTGCCAGAACAAAACGCCGCAGACGGGGGCATTTAAACAGCAGACGTTTGTCTTCTCATGGTTCTGGAGGGCAGAAATCCAAGCTGAAGGTGTCAGCAGGTTTGGTTTTTCCTGAAGCCTCTCTTCTTGACTTGCAGATGGCCACCTTCTCGTCTGGTTTCTCACAGTAATGAACTTCTCTCTGTGTCCTCCGATACATGACCTCTCTCTGTGTCCTCACAATACATGAACTTTTTCTGTGTCCTCACATCAGATGACTGTCTCTCTGTGTCCTCACATACATGATTTCTCTCTGTGTCCTACATACATGATCTTCTCGTCTGTGTCCTACATCATGATCTTCTCTCTGTGTGCCTGCACACCCCTGCTGGCGTGGGTCTCAGTGCCTAATTTCTTTTTTTTTTTGTTTTTTTTTTTTGGAAGGACAGGAGTCTCACCTCTGTCGCCCAGGCTGGAGTACAGTGGCGTGATCTCAGCTAACTGCAAGTCCGCCTCCCAGGTTCGGACATCTTGTGCTCGCCCTAGTTGCCAGATGGCTGGGCGACTACAGGTGCATGGCCTATGCCTGGCTTAATTTGTATTTAGTAGAGACGGGGTTCTCACCATGTGGTCAGGGTGGTTCAAATTCCGCTTTACCCCATGATCCCCCAGCCTTGGCTTCCCAAAGTGCTGGGATATGACAGGCGGTGAGCACCGACCGGGCGCATTTTTTTATTTTTTTTTATATTTTATTTTTTGGAACGCTAAGGTGTCACTCTGTTGCCCTAGGTGGGAGTGCGTGGGTGGGATCTTGGCTCACTGCGCACTACTTCGATTCCAGGGTTCAGGGATTTGCTGCCTGTCAAAGTAGCTGGGATTACAGGTGCCCATGCACCCAACGGAAAAACGAGCTAATTTTTAGCAATTTATTAGATTATGAGAATGGAACAGGAATAATAAATAACCAATGGTGTTGGTCAGGCTGGTCTTGAACTCCTGACCTCAGGTGATCCACCCACCTCAGCCTCCCAAAGTGCTGGGATTACAGGTGTGAGCACCGTGTCCAGCCCAGTGTCCTAAGCGCTTGTAAGGACATCAGTCAGACTGGATTAGGGCCCACTCCAGTGGCCTCATTTGAACATAATTATTTTGTTAAAGGCCAAATACAGTCACTTTCTGAAGTCCTGGGGGTTAGGCTTCAACGTATGAGTGGTAGGGCACTCAGTTCAGCCCATGACATTATTTAAAATGCAAAGGATGCATAGAAAGGAGCCGTGGAGCAAGAGGAAACTTTCAGGGAAAGAAACGAACGTGCAGAAACCCTGTGGCTGTGGCAGGCCCATGTGGCTTGAGCTCAGAGTGAGGGGTCTTGGTGGGAGTTACACTGGGAGTTGAGGGTGAGGAGCCACCTAGAACCATTGTTGGGAGTGATTGGGAGTGATGTGGTAAGAATTCTGTAATGCAGCGTTCCCCAATCTTTTTGGCACCAGGGACTGGTTTCATAGAAAACAATTCTTCCACGGACCGGGACTGGGGAGGTTGGTTTTGGAATGAAGCTGGTCCACCTCAGATCATCAGGCATTAGATTCTCATAAGGAGTGTGCAGCTTAGATCCTGGTATGCACAGTTCACAATAGGGTTTGTGCCCCTATGAGAATCTGAGGCTGTTGCTGATCTGACAGGAGGTGGAGCTCAGGTGATCACGCTCGCCTCCTGCTGTGAGGCCCAGTTCCTAACAGGCCATGGACTGCTTCTGGTCTGTGTGCCGGGGGTTTGGGACTGCTGCTCTAATGGGAAGGTTACTCTGGCCACAGATGGGTTGGAGGGAGGCTCCCCTTAGCTCCAGAGCTACTGTGATGGTGACACACTGCATGGCATCTCATAGTAAGGGCTCCGTAGAGGGTTACTGGTTAATATTTTTCATAATGGCCACCTGACACGGTTGATGGGAGGACTGAATGAAAAAGAGGCCAAAAAGGGCTTAATAAGTGATAAGGAGAAACCAGGATAAGCATCCAAAAGTACCAAAGAGTCTGTATTTGGTGGCGCTGGATATAGTGTAGTTTAATCAGATGTGATCGCTACTTGTCCTGGAAGGTTTTAGATGCAACTCATGCAAAAGAGGAAAGAAGCGACTGGAGCAGGGAGTCACTGACTATGTGTCGTCCTCCGGAAGCCCAAGTACAGTGGAAACGGTCTGAGAGAAGGAGCACTCATCTTTTATTTCTTTTCTTCAGATTCAACTGAAAGCTCCCCTTAAGTTTACTGTCAGGGTGCTGATACACAGAGCTACTCCTAGAAGATTGAGGGTACAGGTAAGGGATGGGAGTTCCTCTCCTGCAGGCGCTCAGTAAGAGTACTGTTGGGCAGCGGGAAGGTTTCTCATTTCATTCCTGGAATTCAGGGTCCAGAAGTGGAACCTGATGTGAGCTCCTATTTCCTTTCAACTTGAGTGGTGATTCTACCTTTTCTTCTTTTCTTTTGAGACAGAGACTTGCTCGGTCACCCAGGCTGGAGTGCAGTGGTGCAATTGCAGCTCACTGCAGCCTCCACCTCCTGGGCTCAAGTGATCCTCCCGCCTCAGCCTCCCTAGTATTGGGACTACTGACATGCCACACCACCCCCAGCTAATTTTTTTATTCCTTGTAGAGATGTGGTCTCACTATGTTGCCCTGGCTGGTCTCGGCCTCCTGGGCTCAAGCAATCCTTCCACCTTGGCCCCCCAAAGTGCTGGGATTACAGGCATGAGCCACTGTGCCTGGCTTTCTTTTGTTTTTTAAGAGCTAGGGTCTGTCGCTCAGGCTGGGTGCAGTGGCTATTCACAGGAGCAGTCATAGTTCACTGCAGCCTGGAACCCCTGGTCTCAAGTAATGCCCCCACCTTAGCCTGTAGCTGGGACTACAGGCACGCATCACCACACACAGCTTATGTGACTGTACGTTTTGATGATTTAATGCAACAAAGACTGCTCTTTGTCTTGGAAGGAACCAAGACAAGCGTTTTATCCCAATGGCTAAAAAACTCTGACTGTCCTCCTCCACACCCTTGACAGAGGGCCATCTGCCAGTGATTGGGAATGCACTAGACAGCCCATCCTCATTTTGGACAGAATTAATTGTTAGAATCTGCTTTGTAACACTAGGCCAAATATATCTCTTGTAAGTCCCGGTCTGGCCTTCAGGAGCTGCACAGACTCAGCTCCTCTTTACGGCATTAAATATTTGTCGATGGCCCTGGGCTCTAGGCCACCCTTATAAGGCCTCCAAGTCTTCTGTTCACAAATTGAACACCTTACTCCAACAAAAAAGGTGTTTTTTTTGTTTTCTTAACGATGCTTTTATGAAAATTCTTCTACATAAATCTCTTCATACTTGCCTTTGGATACATTTCTATAAATGAAACTTCTGAGACAAATGGCGCATTTTATAGTTTGTGCTCTCTATTTCCAGATTAGCCTCCAGAATGGATGATTTTTGCTTGTACGCCCACCAGCAATTTACAAGAGAACCTGTTTCCCCACACCTTACCCGCCAACATGGGGAGTTTTCATTCTTTTAATCATTACCAATCTGATAAGGGGAAATGATTATTTCATGGTTGCCTTAATTTTTGTTTCTTTGATTATGAGATTGGACATGTTTTCCAACCACATCCTATACTTTTGCAGTCGAGTTTTGTAGCTCAGTGCAGGACCTTACATGTATTCCAGTTAAATTTTATCTTGTTGGATTCAACCAATCATTCCTTCCTGTTGAGATAATTTTGGACCTGACTCTGCAGTCCCAGCGTGTTGGCCTTCCTTCCCAGTCTGGTGTTATTTGCACAATTGATAAGCAGTTATCTTTGGACTTATCCAAGCTGTTGACAGAATGTTAATGAGTGTAGGGCCAAGGACAGAACTGCTTGGCATTCCACTAGAGAAAGCCTTGGGATGATACCGTCCCATCTGCTGTGACAGTTCAACCTCACCATGCCTGGGAGTCATGGCTGTGTTAGGAGCCTTCACCTGGGACACAGGGCCTGCGCACAGATTCCAGCCCTGGCCCTGATTAGTTGCGTGGCCTTGAGAATGTGCTGAGATGTACTTTTGAGCTCTAGCAGCCTTTTCCTCACTATTCTGTCCATAAGAATTTCATGAGAAACGGTCAAATTGTTGTCAAAAGTCATGGCACTGTCACAAAGTATTCACCCCATTTTCTAATTTAGTGGAAGCAGCATAATGAGAACCTTTTGTCATGGATATTGACCTCTGGGATCACCCTTCCTATGTGCTGGTCAACCATTTGTTTGATTTTCTGCCCCAGAATTTTGCCCATGATGAACATGAGGCTCAACAGCCTTCAGTTTATCCAATTCACACTTTTTTTTTTTTTTAAATACAGGGTTTTGGCCTCCTCAATTCTCCATGATTCCTCACAGCACCCTGAGACGTCAGAAGTGCTCAGCACTCCCTCCCAGGGCTTGTTGGTTCTGTCGCCCTGGTTCAGTTTTCTTTCATATCAGGAAGGAGCAAGGTGGGAGGGCCACCTCTCCTCCAGGCATGGACAGAGGGCCAGAGTTCATTCACAGCTGTGGCAGCATTGAAAGGAAATGGGGAAAATGCTTAGTTTGGCGGAAAAGGGGCTTTGTGAGACAGACACATGGCATCTGCCCAAGTCATGAGCTGAAGAAACAGCTTCCATGGCCCTGCCAGAGGGACCTCTTGTTATGCATCATTCTCTCCAGCCCTGAGCTTCATCAAGAAAATAAGCATCAGCAGTATCATCTCCAAGTGAAATGGTGGCACATTATGTCACCTTTCTTTCCTTCAACATCAAAATCAGACAAGACTATTCTAAGGAGGGAGCAGTAAACATTAACCCCATGTAACAGATAAAAGACTAAAAGAGAAATTAGATAACTGGTTTAAGTGACACAGGGAATCCGTCATAACTCTGGTGACATGGCTTCTTATCATGCCTGGAATGTAGTTACTGATTTACACCTTGTAAATTTCTCAGTACACGATGTACAAGTGGCCACTCCGTACTGTCTGTTTATTCAGACTAATAGTAATCACGATAATATGCCAGGCACAGTGGCTCACACCTGTAATCCCAGCACTTTGGGAGGCGGAGGCAGGAGGATTGCTTGAACCCAGGAGTTTGAGACCAACCTGGGCAACGTGGCACGATCCTGTCTTTATATAAAATTTAAAAATTAGCTGAGCATGGTGCCGTACTCCTGTGGTCCCAACTACATGGGAGGCTGAGGCAGCAGGATCACTTGAGCCTGGGAGGTCAAGGCTGCAGTGAGCTAGGTTCACACCACTGCACTCTAGCCTGGGCAACAGAGCGAGATCCTGGCTCAAAAAAGATAGATAGATAGATAGATAGATAGATAGATAGATAGATAATATATATATAAAATAGTAATAATGATAAAGGCTGCTGTGGTTTGTTTGTTTATTTTTGCTTGTTTATTTTTGCTTGTTTGTTTTTTTGAGACAGAGTCTAGCTCTGTCACCCAGTCTGGAGTGCAGTGGTGCGATTTGGCTCACTGCAACCTCGCCTCTCAGGTTCAAGCAATTCTTCTGCCTCAGCCTCCCGAGTAGCTGGGTGCCACCATGCCTGGCTAATTTTTGTATTTTTAGCAGAGATGGCATTTTGCCATGTTGACCAGGCTGGTCTCAAACTCCTGATCTCAAGTGATCTGCCTGCCTCAGCCTCTCAAAGTGCTGGGATTATAGGCGTAAGCCACTGCGCCCGGCCAAGGCTGCTATGGTTTGAATGTTGGTATCCACTCCACAACTCATGTTGAAGCCGATCCCCATAGCAGTGGTACTGAGAGTTGGGGCCTTTATAAAAGAGCCTGAGGGAGTGAGTTCAGACCCCTCGCCCTCCCGCTTTCTGCCACCTGAGGATGCAGCCAGAAGGCCCTCGTCAGACACCAAATGCTGGCACCTTCATCTTGGCCTCTCCCAGAGCTCTGAGAAATGAACTTCTATTGTTGATAAATAACCCAGTCTGTGGTATTTTGTTAGAGCAGCACAGATGGGCTAATACAAAGGCTGGTGATCCTTATCGAGCCCTTACCACGTTCTCAGTGCTTTGCAGAAATGAACTGTTTCCTCTCATACGCCCTTGAGGTAGGTACTGGCTTCACTCCTTTTTTTATAGATGAGGAAATGGAGGCACAGGGGAGAGGCTAAGTAACCTGCCTCAGTTCACCCTCCTCCCATCCAAGGCCCGACCCTGCTTAGCTTCCAAGATGAGGCAAGATCTGGCCCATTCAGGGTTCAATGGCCGCAGACAGGCCACCCCTCTTCTAAAGGGTAGAGCTGGGGTTTGAACTCAGGCTGTCTGACTCCGTGGTTCAGGCTCCGAATGGTAATGTTCTGCTGCTTCTATAAATAAATGAGGATAAGAAAGGAGTAATTGGAAATGATTTCTCCCCCAGACTGTGAGACTGCATTGCAAACAGTGGTCTCAGCTACTAAGGAGTAACAAACAGCTCTTTCATCTCCTGGAAGAACTGTGTGCAAAGGAAGGAGTGAGGAGAGAAGGGACACCCGGAACCTGAAGAACCTGTGACTTGGATGCACAGCCTCTAAGTAATCCCAAGTGAACCGTGTGAACCTGCAGTCAGTGTCTATGGCCACGAGGCAGAACACACAAACACCAGGCCTCAAGATTCTCACCAAGATCGTGTCATGAGACAGGACCTCGCTGCCCAGCCCCCGCCTCCCAATAACAGGATTACGAGGCTCAGTGCGGTTACTGCTGGCACAGCGAGCCACAGATGTAGCCAGGACTGGGTGCCAATCGACGGATTCCCAATATTGTCTTCCAGTTGCTAGACTACGCTGCTTTCCAGTACATTATTTGGAATATAAAAACTAAAATGTAAGTAAAGCATTTTCATACAAATAATTTCAACCGCAACAAGGCAATTGGCTTCTGATTAAGTTGGCAAGAAGAGGTAATGCTCTCATTCCGATTGACATATTTGGAGATTCTCTTGCCAAATCCAATTGGCAGCTTCATAATTATGGAAACGTCCATGTTATTTCCACTCAACCAGGGTTAGGGCTGCTGGTATCTGATTCAATGTTTACTTCATGAATGAGGTCAGTTCCCAGCACAGCTGGGGTTTCAGCAAAGGAGTCAGCAGACAGCATTCCCACTAGAATCTGACCGGCGTTTGTCACAACTTCCAGGGCAACCTTCCCCCAGCTCCCCCAGGTCAGCTGCTCTCCCTAGCATTGTCTGGGGCCCGGCTCCTCTCCCTGTAGAAGCAGACCCAGCCTTGACATGATGAGGTCACATCCAAGCTTCCCCTGGCACAGCGGTTCATTCTGCAACCTGCCCCCTTGGTATTGCAACACCTCACTCCTGGACAACCCCCGCACACCATGAGCTTCATGCTGCCAGGAAACGGTGGGGTTTTAAGAAATATTTATCCCAGGATGGTTCCACGTGTGTGGTGTGAGAGTGACTCAGAGTGCCATGGAAGCCACCTCCAAAGGTAATGATGTCCCACAGGTCAGAGTGTCCTTTCAGCCAGCTCCCCACGCTGATGAAAACAAAAACAAGTCACAAGTGCTCAGAACACTCCGGAAGAACACGCATTCACGGAGTGGCCATCTGCGAGTTCACGGAGTTCCTGGGGAGACTCGGGGCAGAAGGGAAGGGCGGCACCGCACAACAATGCCGGGGTCTAGCTCCCGCTGGCTCGAAGTGGCAAAGGGCTGGAGTGTCACTGACCTGTTTGTCCAAGTCCTGAGCTATTGCCATAGGATAGCGGCAGCAAGGAAGTCCATGGTCCAAGTCTGAAGCAGCTGTCTCTGCCCTGGCAGCAGTTTCCCTACCTGAGCGAGGTAAGCTAGGAGGAGGCCAAGCAATAGTGATTTGGTTTGGATCTCAAAATAATCGTGACCATCGTATGATGTGATTATTTTTGCCTAAGAAAATCTGAAAAGTGCCATCGAGAAAAAGAATCTAGAGTGGGAGATGGTTTAGGCATTGGAGGCAAAGGCAGATTCAAGAGGAAACTTCCTCTGCCCCAATGTTGACAACCAGACTGACGGCCACACCCCATGCTTTCCCAACAGGAGAACAATGTGACCGAAGGCAATTGATGTGAACACAAGAATCAACAACATAGAGGAGACACAGTCCCAGGTGTAAAGAGGGGAGCTGTCTCTCCCTGTGGCCTCAACAGAAGGAGAGCGTTGTCAACCTAGGATGCAGACTCACTGTCTCATCCTGAGGGTCGGTCCAACTGCCATAGGAGATTTTGGAACAACTGTCCTCACTTGAGGGTCGACATGCTGTACAGTCCATGGGGACCGCTGGACAGTCGCAGTCCCAGATCACTTCTCCTACTGGCTTTCCTCAGGAGCTCACACTACCCGTCTCAGCCCCAAGATGTTCCTTCTGTCTGCTCCTGTTCCTGACTCAAACACGGGTTGTTTGCCATCAGTTCTGTACCCTGTTTTATCAACATTGTTATTGTCATATCTTATAATGTTTATTTGTTTGTTTGTTTGTTTTTGAGACAGAGTCTGTCATCCAGGCTGGAGTGCAGTGGTGGGATCACAGCTCACTGCAGCCTCCAGCTCCCAGGCTCAGGTGATCCTCACACCTCAGCCTCCCAAGTTAGCTGTAACTACAGGTGCGCACCACCACCCTCAGCTGATTTTTTTTGTATTTTTTGTAGAGATGGAGTTTTGCCATGTTGCCCAGGCTGGTCTCGAACTCCTGAGCTCAAGCAGTCTGACCTTCCTGGTCTCCCAAAGTGCTGGGCTCACAGGCATGAGACACCACACCCAACCTCATTTTATAATCTTTTAAAATTATTTTTTCCCTTGAATATTCTTTGGAAAGTTTTTGAAGATATGGCTCTGACTTAGCGTGTTTTGTGCTGCTCTAACAGAATGCCTGGGACTGGGTAATTCATAATGAACAAAAATTTATTTCTCACAGTTCTGAAGGCTGAGAAATCCAAGATCAAGGCGCCAGCATCTGGCGAGGGCCTATTTACTGCATCATCCCATGGCAGAAGGCAGATGGGCAGGAGTGGGTGGGACAGAAAGACAGACCAAAGGGGGCTGAACTCGTTCCTTTATAAGGAACCCACTCCTGAAATAATGGCATTAATCCATCGTCCATTAAACACCTCTGAAAGGTCCTACCTCCCAACATCTCTGTATTGGGGATCAAGTTTCCAGCATATGGATGTTGAGGGACACATTCAAACCATAGCAGGCACTAAACCAAGGTCTTTCCTTCCCCCTCTCTGGCGTTTCTACCCACTGGGCACAGCTGCACTGGCCGCCCTGCTGATGCCCATCGACACCAGACACACACCCACCTCAGGATCTTGGCACATGCCCTTCCCTCCAGCTGAAACACTTGCCAGGCCATCCCCACAGCTCCCTCCCTTCTTTTCCATCTTGACTCACATGCCCCCTCCCCTGGATCTTGCATGCATGTTCTTCCACACGTGATTCCCCCGGCTTCTATCCCCATCTGAAATAGCACATTACTTGTTCCTTATCTGCCTCCCCCTCTAGAGTGCCAACTCTGCCTGGCAGGGATTTTTGACTCTCGCCTACTGCCACAGCCTGGTGCCAGCACAGTGCCAGGCATGTCCACCCTGCAGCATTTACTGAGTGCCGTGCCCACTGCACACCAGGCCCTAGTCTTGGATGCTTTTGCAAATGTTTCTCCAGTGATTGAAGAACTAAAATTCTTTAAACTCAAAGGAACCGTTGTGTCTTCTGATTCCTCCGAGAGGTTTGAGGAGCTGGGCAGATGCAATGTCACTTTGCTGTCTCCCTCCACCCGGCTGCCCCTCTGACTTCATATATCAGCTTTCCCAACAGACGTGGGAAAATGGGGTCATTCCCAGGAAAGGCAGAGCCTTCCATGACTTAGGAACCCAGGTGTTTGCTCCACTGGGGCCAATTGCTCCTGACTTTTTCTGAGCTCCTAGGAGGAAATGCATCTGAAATGCTGTCACCCTCCCCTGATCATTAACAGAGCTGTTGAACTGGCGGAGTTGTCAGCGAGGCAACCACAGGCAGGCAGGCAGCCATCGCACCGGCTTTGCAGAGAGGGCTGGAGAGCTGATGCCCACGCCACGGGAAAGGGCCGGCGCCTCAGCCAAGAGCCTGACTGGAAAGTGTGTGTAAGGGACACCTGGAGGAAGCAGGGGCCTCCAGCGCCTCCTCCACCAACTAGAACCCGTGGTGCTCACCCACCCGCCCTGGGGGCTCACTACCCTCCCTGCCCAGAGATACAGCAGGGCTGGAGGCTCACCAGGCTTTGTGATCCCAACACTCACGAGTGTTCTCCCAACAAATTGGAAATTTTCTTTCGTCTCATTTGAAAAAGTCTTTTGTGAGCTAGCAAGTGACCCCAAAGTAACCTCTCTATTCCTGTTGGAAGGGAAAATATTTCCAGATCAGAGAGACTGCAGCGCCAAGCCTTGGCCTATATGAATACTTGATTATGCCTCCTGAACACAGTCTCCCGAGCATGTGCCAGTCAGTTTCAGAAATGATCCCTGGCTGGGTGTGGGGGCTCACGCCTGTAATCCTAGCACTTCGGAAGGTCAAGACGGGAGGATCACTTAGCTCAGGAGTTCAAGACCAGCCTGGGCAACATGGTGAGGCTCTGTCTCTGAAAAAAAAAAAAAAAATTTTTTTTTTAATTAGCCAGTATGCTGGTGCACACCTGTAGTGCTAGCTACTTGGGACACTGAGATGGGAAAATCACTTGAGATGGGAGGATTGGTTAAGTCTGGGAGGTCAAGGCTGCAGTGAGCCGTGATCCACTGCACTCCAGCCTCGGTGACAGTGAGGCCCTGTCTCAAAACAAACAAACAAACAAACCCCTTAAGCAAAGTAACTGTCAATCAAGAGGTTTATTATTTGCCCCCTTGAGTATTTTAAGACCGAAGCGTCACATTTTCAAGGGTGTGATGTCATGAAATTCCCACGTATGACCACATTTTGAAAAACAGTCGTGTATGTTTTGGAAAGTGAGAGGGTTAGCCTATAATGTGGAAGATAAACTCCCAAGTGGAAGTTTGAGATGCACAGGCAGAATGGGTCACCAAGCTATAGCATTTGCTACGGTGAACTCATGTGACTGCCCCAGAATTATCTGGAAGTTCAATGTTCATCTTCTGAAAAGAACTGGGACCTCGCTGTGCCAGCTGCTGTTGTTCTAAGTGCAATGTAAGCAGGTTTCTATTTAAAACCTTCACACCTGGCACTTGAGTAGTGCTTGTTTTCCAAAGGGCACCCTCTTTCCCTCGGATTTTTTCCACCTTTTCCTTTTCTGGTTTAGTCCGGTTTATCTCAGCCTGCTGGCATGAAGAGAAGGACAGTTATAAAAGCCATTTATAAAAGGAGTAGGGAGGTAGTGGTCTTTTTGTCTTTGCTGCTGAAACGGCTTGGGTAGATACAAGATGGCCTGAGAAACAATGCTGGGAGTGAGGAGCATGGACTGGCCAGGGCGACAGGAGGAAAGCAGGTTTCCCTGTCTTCATGGTACACAGAAGGCAAAGGCAGGTGCTCAAGGCCATGTACCTTCCTAGACAACTTGGGTGAGGCCCTTGGACACTCCAGTGGATCCCGGCATGCCCAATCAAAAACTCCAGATCTGAGCCAGGCGTGATGGTGGTGCCTGTAGTCCCAGCTACTCAGGAAGCTGAGGCAGGAGGACCACTTGAGCCCAGGAGTTTGAGACCAGCTGGGCAACATAGCAAGATCCCATCAAATTCCAGATCTGTCACCATCAGTTGTCTCTAGGGAGAGAGGGGCTCAAGAAAGGAAGGAGAATTTAGAAGTGGGGTAAAGAAAGGCTAGAAACGGGGAAATAGGGGACACACAGCAAAAACAATTTAAGGAAGAGACCAAGACTAAGACGGGGATGTCAGGAGACGAGCCCATGGTTTTTTTCTTTTTAATCCTCTACGTCCAAACACATCTTCATCACCTTAATTATAGACTGAGAAATGACAAGGCTAAAATAATCAAGGACTGGGAATTTAAGGTTGTAAAATGGGCTGGGCGTGGGGGCTCATGCCTGTAATCCCAGCACTTTGGGAGGCCGAGACAGGTGGATCACCTGAGGTCGGGAGTTCGAGACCAGCCTGGCCAACATGGTGAAACCCCTTCTCTACTAAAAATACGAAAATTAGCCAGGCGTGGTGGCGTGTGCCTATAATCCCAGCTACTCAGGAGGCTGAGGTATGAGAATCACTTGAACCCAGGAGACAGAGGTTGCAGTAAGCCGAGATTGCGCCACTGCACTCCAGCCTGGGTGGCATATTGAGACTCTGTCTCAAAAAAAAAAAAAAAATTGTAAAGCATCTCACTTCTGACCTTCAGAGGGTCCTCCCCTTCCTCTCCCTCCTCCTCCCTCTCTCTTCTTCACCTCATCCCCCACCTCCTTCTTCTCCCACTACCCCTCCTCCTTCCTTCACCCTGGGCACAACCCGTCTTGGAGGAGCAGGAACCGCTCTGAATGACACTGGCTGGGACAGCAGTGCCCTGGGATCAGGCCTGAAGCAGTCAGGCCCGAACAAGGCAGCAGTTGTGCACAGGAGCTTTTCAAGGAGGCTTTGCAGATACAAGGACGTTGGACAGAGAGGAACAGAGAAATTCCAGAGATTTTTCACGTGCAAGCGGATATTTCCTTTGAGAGTTTCTAGACTAAATAATACTCCTTGTGTCTAAGGGGACGGTGTATACTGCTGACCTGGCAATGTTCTCTGCCTGCAGGATGAGCACAGGCAGGCCTCGCGGCTGCCTGGAGGGAGCTGTAAGCAAAGGAAGGTGAAGTGGCCTGAAGAAATGTCTGCACTGGAGACGGGGCTGTGCGCCTCTGCCTGACGCAACATCTTTTCAGACATGGAGGAAGGATCTGTTGGCAGATCTTTGGACTCAAATGGGCTGGACTTCTAAGAAAAGATATACCCAGGCCTCTCTATTCCACCAATTTTCATTCTTTCATACATACATACATATTTATTTATTTAAACAGACTTTATGTTTTAGGCAGTTTTAGTTCACAGCAAATTTGCGCAGAAAATGCAGAGGTGCCATAGACTTCCTTACCCAGCATACCCAGGGCCTCCCGCTCTGTCAACACCCTGCAGCCGATTCATCTTACAGTCGATGAAACGATATTCACACATCATTATCACCCAAAGTCCATCATCGACATTACAGACTCTTGGTGTCGTACATTCTGTGGGTTTTGACAAATGTACAGTGACGTGTACCTGCCATTGCGGTGTCATACAGAATAATTTCAGCGCCTGATAATCCTCCATGCTCCGCCTGCTAACCCCTCCCTCCCCCAACCCCGGTCCCCAAGGCTTTGCTTTTTCCAGAGTGTCACATAGTTGGAATGGTATGGAACATAGCCTTTTCAGAGTGGCTTCTTTCACTTAATAATATGCATTTACGTTTCCTCCATGTTTTTTAACGGCTTGATAGCTCATTT